GACAAGCCAAGCCCCTCCAGCCACCTGGGATGCGACACCGACGCCTAGCATGGGAACTCAAAGTCCCCGCACGCCCACCACTCCGCGCTGCCAGCCAGCCAGGAAGCCGGCTCTGGAGACCGTTGAGGCGGTCCCGGCACTTTCTCCTCTGCTTCCCAGGCCCATGAGTAGGAAAAGCGAATCCGTTCTGATCTGATTCAGGTGCTCCCAGCGCTCCCTTGGCAGTCACAGGACCGGAGAGCGCTAGACACACAGTTACTAAATGACTTCTTCCAGTTCCCATATTGAGATTAAAATGAGAACTGCCGATAATACGTGTTAGGATAGAGATATGTTTAATACTTAGCGCCAAGTAAAATATATAAAGTTACAGAACTTAGAATCTGTCATGAACAGCAGTTTTCTGATAAGGACCGCTTGGATTAAACAGAAGCTTCCGGTAAATAAGGGCCCCATCCGCAATACAGAACACCGAAGCCGCGAGTCCAAACACCTGAAACAAAAACACAGTGTCACTGCTGTGGCTGTGGTCACACAGGTTTTAAGTGGTCTGCCCACTGGCTTCCTCTCCTGCTAGGGCACCAGGATTGCTCCCTACACTGTCACTCAATACTAAAATGGGAAGAGACCTCAGAGATCATTTTATTTTCATTCCCAAGTTTTCCCAGTACTTTCCTAGAGAAAAGGAAAGAGCAGAAACAATACTGAAGTGGTGTGAAGTCTGAAATAAATACTTGTCTGGCTCTGTTGACTTGCTCTTGGATATACTTTTAAAGCTCTACAGATGGTATTCAGTTACCAATCAACTCTTCTATACCCAGTGTTCAACTGTCTGACTTTCCTATTCCTATTTTCTACTGGAGAAAGGGTCAAAGTTAATGCCAGCTCAAGATTTAACCATGGTGATAAAAGCTTTGGAGAAATGGAGTAATAAGATGATCCAAAGTGAACTTTCAAAGGCTGGGCTACATCCACTTAAGGGGTAGGATTATAAACAGGCCTCAGGAAAATAAAACTGAGGTAAATGGAATAAACTAGCGCACAGCCTTCAGGTACTCTGATGGCTATTTGTGAACTGGTGTCTGGGCCAGAGAAAGGGGATGTCACTCTTTGCATGCTGTTTCATCAGTTCCATCCAACTGCCAGGAAGTCTGGCTTTCTGGCTCGCAGACACTGCTCCTTCTCCATCCTGAATCCCAAACGTAGCTTTCTTGGTTCTGCCCACACTAAGTAGCTCCTACCCATGCTTCCTGACCCTGGTACTCAGCATGTTGCCGGTCCTCCACCTGAAACCATCCCCCTGTTCTCCCATTTATTCCCAGAAAACTGTGATTCCATTGCCAGAGAGAAGTAGTTGGCTCCTCTTTTCTGTGCACCACGGTACTCTGTTAACAGCTATTTGCTTTTCTGTCTCCTGTATTAGGCTCTAAGTAACTTGAGGATAGCGCTCACATTCTAGTCCAGTGCTGTCCAAAAGAAATATAATGTGAGTTACCAGTGCAAATCCACATAATTTAAAGTGTTCTTATAGGCACATTAAAAATAAAGAAAAAGCAAGTGAAGTCAATTTTAATAGTAAATTTATTTAGCCTGATACATCCAAAAGATAATAATTTTAATATGCCATCAATATCAAAAAGTTTTAAATGAAACATTCTATATTCTTTTTTAGGGGTAGCAAGTCTTTGAAATCCAGTATATATTTTACACTTAGAGCTCATCTCAGTTCAGAGGGGACACATTTCCAGTGCTCAGCAGCCACCTGTGGCCTGTGGCTCTATACTTTGTCAGCACTTACCAAAGTACATTTAAAGAATGACTGAATGAGTGAATGAGTAAATAAGTGAATCAAAGTAAATCCTACGCCTCATCCCTCTTTCTCCATAGTAGAGGGATAAGATTATCTTTAAAGACAACTGGGAGAAATCGCTGTTACAGCACTATCTCATATCTAGAGTAATTCCCACCCCTCATGAAGTTGCTTAGGGCCCAATGAAGCAGATGAAAAGCCATGGATTCTGACATACGTGGTCAGTTCTCCTAAATGGCCCATGTTATGAAAAGACAAAGAAGTAGGAGGGAGATTTCTTAAAGAAGAACTTTATAATTCACTTCTCTAAATTCTGAACCTAGAAAAGCCAAATGATTTTGAACCTCCTATAAGAAATCTCAGGTAGGGGAGGGTATAGCTCAGTGGTAGATGCCTAACATGCACAAGGTACTGGGTTCAATCTCCAGTACCTCCATTTATAATAAACAGATGAATAAATAAGTAAAAACTTTCTCCCCAAACAAAAACAAAACAAAATAAAATAAAAGTTAAAAAAAAAGAAACTCTCAGAAGAATATCAGATGGAACAGTATCCAAATCACTTGACTCCTGTGGTTTGCTCTGGCTTGCCTTCTAAATTAAACTGATTTCCTTGCTTCAAGCAGTGTTCAAAATGATCCTTTAGTTACCAGGCTTTCTACCGCCATTCCCTTATGATGAGACATCCTCTATTATATTCCTCCTGAAGCAGGATCAGGACAAGAAATAAGTAAGCCCAGAATAGTCTGTCTCACCTTAATAAGTGGTTATGTCTCCTTTTCTTGAAAAGGGAGCACTGTGAAACTCATCCATGGTTTGTTGGTTTGTTCGGCTTTTGGTTGACATCAGGTTTCTGAGAGCTAAGTATTGTAAGAGAGTCCTGTAGCTTTTCCTAGGCTTGTCTAGCCCTACATATCTATGCGAAATATGGAGGAACTTCTTTATTTGGTTAACTTCAGTTTTGTGTGAAATCTTATTCCTTCATGTTAATTAGGGCATGTGTTCACACACAAAATTATTAAGCCACTAGGTACTGTGTGCTGGCATAGGAGCCTCCAGGATGAATACAGTCTAGTTTTCTGTTCTCGTATCTATTTTTCAAGTAAAATTTGCATTCGGATCAAACCTGAAGGAAGAAACTTGAAAGACCTCTACTTACCCCTCCAATGACTATATATGTTGTGGTTTCTGGGATCAGTGCCAACATAGATATAAGTATCATGAATACTGCTGCTACCATTGAGTTGATAACATCCTGAAAACACAGAATAGAAAGGTCAGCTTTACATGAAGATCACCAAAAAAATGAATCAGCTCCCTAAAGATTTTGAAAGTTCTATTTTGTTAAACAAGTTTATTTAGTTTAAATAGTTTTATTTCGTTTTAGGAAATCAAACTGCCACAGTAAAATGACACATATATACAGTATTTCATCTACAATGATGCCTAATGGTTCTCTTAACCGATGATACACCACTCATTTAACTACTTAACAGGCTTCTTTCTTTTTTACTTAAATGCAGTTGGAGGGAGAACTTACCTGGTTAGGAGTGGATGATGTATTATGTGGAAGATTTAAAGTAGAATGGTACACTGGGAAGTCAGAATGCCCAATTTTAATAATATAAGAGAAAGCGTGGCATAGTCTTACACTGTAAAACAACTTTATGATATTACCACAATGCAATTAATAAAATGTAAAGCAGGAGAAAGTGGTAATTTTCAGGAAAAAAACTCCCACACATCTGTATGCAACAGCTGATTAATTATAAATTATTTATGATGTTGTAGCTCATTCATTTAAACATTTCTTGAAATGAAGCATTTTCATTCTGAACTGTGGCTGTTAAGAGGTACAATTTACATTTTGAATGGATATATATAGTGTGGGAAAGGCAATAAATTGCCTTTATTTTGGAATGGTTTATGTATGTTTGCAGGTAACTGTACGCAGGAAGCAACTGTTAACACAGAAATATCAAACTTCAAAACCCTGGTAACTTAGAAAAGTAGTTATTACAAAGAAAATAGGAAGAGATTTCAATGGGGACGGAGCAAGATTAGATACACTTAAGCAGGAAAAAAAATTTTCATTTGCAGGAGCTATTGAGGCCAGCTGTCCCAGGTTAATGCTCTTCTGTGCTGGGTATTCTGCTTTGCTTCAAGGCAACAGGCCACACCTCTGCTTCAGACAGGCAGCCTTGCCTCCTGTAAGTAATTTGGGTAAGTGCATATGAATGGTTTTGGATAAAAATGGTGTTCTCAGGAGAGCAGAGAACCGTGGGGCGGCTGGAGGGAGGTGGGGAGGAGGGAACAGAGGCTAAGGATGCACCTGCCCGGAATATCAGTGATCCTTAATGGTCATTTAAAGCATTGTTTTTATATTAAAAACTAAACATCACTATGCCATGGAGTAGAATATAACTTTAACTACAAAAATGGAGATTTCACATAAATTTTGAGCCTGTACTTAGATACCACCACAAAGCCCCGGGCTGGCTCACTTGGTGTGTCTTCTGTCACTGGAGCACTGGAGGAGAATGGTCAGAGGAGGCCTGCGTGACAGACTGTCGGTTACGGCGACTTTGGGGCACTGAGACACATCACAAATCTGAGTGCAGGTGACCAAGGCCTTTCCTAATCAGCGAAGACAGTGGCCATCAGATAGAAGCATTTACAAGTTACCTTTTCCCACCTACAGATGAATTGGAATCTTCAGCCATCTTTGTGTCTCCTGCTTGTTTTTATAGTAAAAGAGCCTTGGGCAAGTTCTCCACCTGTTCTCTGGCCCATTCCTGTCAGTGCCTCTGCGGGGACCTCACTCTGTTCATTACCCTCCTTTGTCCCTGGCCAGGATTCCTCAG